TCACCCGACCCATTCCCTGCACGGTCGGCCATAATATATGTCGAGCAAAACCCTGACGACGAGCAAACAACAACGTTATTTCATATATACATGAAAAACAATAAAAATAAGGCATGCATAACATAAAAGTGAAATACTACATTTCCAAAATGCGGGCAGAGTCCATTGTTCAAATGTTACAGAATATGGCGCGCATGCCAAAGGAAATTACATCAAAACAGGCACGTAGGCCAAAAAAGAAAAATAAGGAAACAACCCTAGGCAGTTACATTCTCCTCAGGTTGGTCACCCACCACAGTTTGACCATCATCCTCGTCTTCGACTTAAGGCACGACCGCACGACCCTCGACTATCTAGTAATAAGGGCATATCCCCTCAGTGACGAGCTGGACACCAGGGTTCACGATCTGGATCTGCTACAAAGCATTGTTGAACCCCGCCTCAAGAGCTCCTAAACAGTCATGCTCGAGCTCCCGAATTCGACCTACTAAGATGTCTTGAACCACAAGAGTTTTTTCCTCATCCGTTTCATCCTCAACAGGTTTAACATTGGCCTCCAACTCATCCACCTTGGTCTGTAGTCGACCCCATTCCTCCTTGGTTTCCTTCAGCTCTTCCCGCATTATATTCATCTCATGGAGGAGGTGCACATGGGCTTCGTACCTCGTTTGAGCCTCTTGCAGATCGCTCTCTGCCTTATTTTTCTCCGTCTTAAGGACCACATTCTCGTCTCGCAACTTTTTCAGCTCAGAGGTCGGGCTGGTTTCGTTATTAAGGACCAAGGTCGTCTCAAAGATCCTCATTATGGAGGCCATATCCTTGGTCAACGCCTTCCTTCGGGCCGCCCGATCGATCTCCATGATCGGCTTGGTTTCAGCCTCAACCACAGTCGGGGAATGGTCCCCGGAGAAGAAGTCCCGATGGATATGGCAAAGGGGTAGCACAAACTTTTCCACAGGTGCACTCTTCTCGAGGTCGACGTGCACATGTTCCTCAGTGTGCCACCTTTTAGATGAAGTTTCCTGCATGGGAGGAGACTGGCTGCATTGTGGGGAGGAGAAACCACCAGCTCCTTGGTCGGGCCTCACCATCTGCTGGACCTAAGAGACTCTACCTTTAGCCTTCTTCCCGCCCTTGGTCGCTGTAAACTTCATTATGCGTTCCTGCGTGTTCGACATCTAGCTTGCGATAACGAACAAAGAAAATCAAGTCAGTCCAAAAGGGAAAAAGGCAGGTACCCCAACAAAGAAAAGATTCATTACCTAAAAACCTCAAGGCCTCCTCACGAGACCTGCACTCGAGGAGAGCCTTGGTGTTGATCAATCGAGCCTCACGACAAACCTCCCTACGCTCGTCGAGGATGAAACTCCCATCCTTGTGGACGCATTTGGCCGGAGTGAAGCTGAAGACAAATTCAACTATCTTTTGGTAAGATAGCCAGTCGTCGGCATCCAGGTCGCCGTGATTCACGATATAACCGTTTGTGCCCTAATTGAAGTGGTCCTCGACCCTTTCGAGCAGAAACTTTGACACCAATGTCTCCTCACGTTGTCGGTTCTCCTCTTTGACCACAAGGTGGTACAGGGAGTTGACTACCACGCGCGATACGAACTTCACAACATAAAACTTGTTCTTAAAGGTGTAGAAAAAATCCTGATACGGCCAGAACAACTTCCTCGACTGCTTCAAGGATACTCAGTTATGTCGGCCTTGGAAGGATTGCCGATGTAGGTGGAAAGTGCGGAAGAACAGGGAGAGTGTGGTCCTAATACCAAGATGCTCACAGACAAGTTCAAATGATCGTATGAACGCTATCGTATTAGGGTGAAGTTACGAGGGTGTCAGGCGGAGCCACCAGAACACCCCCCTGAAAATCACTGAAGGGGAGACGAATTTCTGCTTCCCGAAACGCAAACTCATACATCGGGAACCTCATCTCCCTAAACCTCGAGCAAATACGATGCTTATCCTTTGGCTTATAAACCATATAGCTCGGCGAGGAACCCTCGAGACGATCCTCGACGGTCGCAAAAGTGTTTGTGTCGTCGGAGACGAAACGCGACACGATGTTAAGTGGTTCCTGTTCAACCCAATCCTCGGTTGTACGAACTCGTTCGGCTCCAACATCCTCGACGGACGTGTCGAACTCAGATTTGTCGTCGATATGAATGACGCCCTCAATCCTTACGACCATTTTACTTGAAAAGCAGAGGAAAACGGTAAATTCGACTTCCAAGATCAAATTCATCCTTCCACCGCGAATTAAGTGAAATGGCGAAGGGAGGGACGAGGAACCCTTAGTAAGGTCCTCCCCGACGCAAAATAACAGACCCCTCCTCAACGGAGACTCGTCCACGAAGAATCTCCATTCGGCAAAGACCTCATCGCAAGATTCGCACATTGGCGGGGAACACGTCTCCCTGAAATTTGCATCATAGGTCCCCGAGACCTTCATCGAAAACTTCATGAAGCTTCTAGAATCCTCATGAACTTCCCGACGTCTTGGCCAAAAACTTCATGAGCTTGGCCAGAAACTTCATGAGCTTGGATGGAAACTTCATAGCTCGGCCGGAAACTTCATGAGCCAGGCCAAAAAATTCATAGCCCTGCTGGAAACTTCATGGAAGTTGCCGGAAAACTCATGCTTTTCCGTAACCCTACGAGTTCCCCGAAGAAATCGCTGGTAAATTCATAATGCTGGAGATAGGAGATAAAAAATCACTTAAAGAAAGAAGATATGAACGAAGGAGAGTGGTTGACGGTGACGACGAGGCGGCGATAACGACAGACCGCTCTGAAGAACTTGTAGAGACTTGGAAAGAATTTTGATGGAGATGAAGGGGAAACGTGAAAAAGAAGGGAGCTTTTCTTCTATTTATAATCCTAGCACGGGAAGTGAGACATCACTAGGCACTTAAGTGCCCCTATACGTAGCTGCCCTAGGCATTAATTACACGTGACACATGGCGCTAGAAGACACCATGCACGTCCTCTTAGCTTCCCCTCGTTCCCGGAGACCAAGCATGCCCGTTCCCTTTCCACCTCCGCCATATCGTCGACCAGAGTTCCAAACGGGGACATACCCAGAGATCGGTGAAGGGCCAGTAGTACGACCGACAGACATACCTCCCTGCGACTTCCTGTCTTGTCGAACATCTCTTACTTCTGGCCATGCGCATCGCCCCTCAACTCAGTGTCCGGACAAGTTGATGCTCCTCCCGACGGGTCCTCGACGTTCAAACTGACTCTTAAGTCATTACTCCTCTGCCTTAGAGCAACGACTTAAGGGGCTCCTGTTCTTGACTGGGCCAATACCTGCCCCACAGTCGGGTAGGCCCAATCTAATATCACATTGGGGAGGCCCAGCAAGGCCCAATCCTCCTTCCTGTCGGGCACAATCTACTATCAGGCATGCCACTGCCTAGCACAGGAAGATATCATGCGTCTTCCCCACGTTCTCCACGTGCCCCCATGCGAGGATACGTCATCAGCAACTACCCACATCCGAAAGAACAGGTCATCCACCTTCTGAAGATCACAGAGCAGTTGACCCAGGATGAAGACCACGTGTTGGTCTTTCCTACGCCATGTAGCCCTGTCAATTACTCGTGTTAGGCTTTGCAATTCAACCCAATGCAAAATAACCGATGACCCAACCTGGAGGTACATTATAAATACCCTCTTTCACTAAAGGGTCAAGTATTATGAACTCTACACCTATTTTATGTACTTGCTCTCTCTAACTCCGTTACTCACTTTAACATCGGAGTACCTTGCAGGTACACCCCCTCCTCCTCTTCAACACCGGTGAACACAGGAGCTCACGCCGCGTGGCAGACTGTTGATCCCTTTCTAAACCGATAAGATCAGTAACATAGTTAAAGTATTTTGATGTTTGGTTATTGAGATCAACCGGTGAAAATTTGTGTTTGGTTCTTGAGATCAGTTGGTTAAAATCTCTATTTTTGTGAGCTCATCTTGTTAAAAGTTCTATTTGGTTTAGAGATAAGCTTCTTAAAATATCTTGTTTGGTTCATGTTATTAACAAGTTAAAATCTCAATTTGTTTGTAAGAAGGTTCATGCACATAATCTATGAAAATTTTACATCTTTAGAGAAACTCTAAAGTGAAAACTCTTAGCACACGAGTATGCCAAATTGTTAGGTTGAACCTATATAAATTTATGGTGCATGATTTTTTCCTTTATCTCTTTAATTTTCATTATTCTATTTGATTTACGCTTTATTTCTTTCTCATCATCTTTTTCTCTCTGTGTTGTTCTTCCATTCCATAACTTAAACTCCTTTTAATAATAAAACTAACTCTTTTTTTTTATATAAATAAACTTTTCTAATTCAATAACATTTTTCAACCAACAATTCAAAACACCCCTCTTATATTGGTCAACATGCATGACTCAGATTCACACTCATAGGAGGAGTGACTACAATTGTCCTTTGTTATAAAAGTAACTTAGCTAAATATATAAAAAAAATATTCATTTGGTATAGACTACAAAAGTATTTATCAAAGATATCTTAAATATACTTGAAGGGTATTTATAAGGCGAAAAAGAGAAAATGCTTGTAGTATTGTTTCTCACGGTCTGGGTAGAGAAAACCAATTTCACCCGAAATTGAAAAAGTTATATAGAGTTGTTGTTAAAATTAAACAGCACAACACCGTTTCAAAGGAAAGGTGAATGACAACCAAGGAATTATTGTGACGAAAACAGATTTGAATAAAACCAATTAAGATGAGAAAAAGAAAGTAACAAAACCACAACACATTTTTCAACAGCATATCAATTCAACAGCCCAAAAACAGGGGCAGAAACACTGATTTATTTTCTTTCCTTTACTGCTCCATTCGAGACGAAGCAAAACTTTATATGTATTATATACACATCATAGAATTGTGATGATGTTGGCCCGAAAAACGGATAAAAAACAAATAGCATTTTATCCTGTAGTTTGTACTTCTGCTAATTTGTGGCACAATCACCACTGCTTGCTAGTTGCTACTGCTTCTTGCTGTTCAATATTGGCTTCTAGGGTAATTGGATCTACTTCTAAAGAAATACTGAGAGGGCCTTGCGGGGTTCCGAAAAGTGTAGTAAATATTTGTCTGTGGCATTCATCACAAAAGTATATATAAGTGAAATGGCCTTCATATGGGAGTTTATGTACTGCAGCTCCAGGTAGTACACGATGCACATAATCAGTCATCGAAGGTGGAACCACTGTATCATCCATTCCCTGTTAACATTTGCACTACAATAAGTCATAGTTTCACTTCCAGAAAGAAGACATATAGGCGAAAATAGAATTAGAGCATGCAACACGCATAGTTTTCTCTTGATAATAATACAAGAAACATTTATTGAATGATTTATACAGGGAATTTGAAGTAACAGAACATAGAAGCACTCACTTGCCATATATGTATTGGACCGAGAAACCCTGTATACTCTTGAGTTTCTGTGAAAATTGCTTTGAGCCAATTAAGCACATTCTTCCCACTGTATTTTCGTTTCTGCAACTTGAGGTCTACAAGGCTGAAACCCCAATTTGAGACCTGCAAAGCAGCTTCCTCCACAAAGGGTTTCACATTTCCTTGCCTGATCGATTCTTCGACATCCCTTTGCCAAAATTCTTCATAGATTGGATCTTCAAGTAGTGCTTTATCCTGAAAGGAGGATTTAAATCTTCCGTGAGAAGATGCATATGTACATGTAAAACAATTAAAACTCTCGCTCTGTAATTTCAATGCATGCTTAAAAATGTCTTATTATTGCCATCAATTTCAACAAAAATTTGATAATAATAATAATAATAATGCTTTCAAATTTGATATTTAAGCCAAGCCAGAAAAGAAATGAATCATATCTGAGCATGCCAAAAATTTTCTGCATTTTTATCTTCCATATTCTTATCAACATCCATCTAACTAGAATATAGATAGACGACAGTCATAAAGTTAGAGGTGGCAATGAAATTCATTTAGATAATATCCATCCAATCCATCCAATAATTTATCCATCCAATCCATCCATAAAACAAAAAATAATTTAATGGATTTGATCCAATCCATCCACTAACTCATATGGATGGATTCAATCCATCCATCTCATTTTATAAATCCATTGGATATTATGTTGTCACTTATTAAATTAAGAATTTTTAAATTAATTTTTTGGATGAATGGATATCCATCCATTAGAAATATGTTAATGGATGGATTGGATGGATTTTATCTTTTGATGGATGGATTGGATTGGATTTTTATTAAGAGAGTTTAGTGGATTGTTAATGGATTAATGAATTGTTTTGATCCATCCATTAACAATCCAATCCATATCCATCCAATCCATCCATTTTGCCACCCCTACATAAAGTGTTCATCAATGGAAATGCACAACACAAAGCCACATGTGGACATAATGATTAAGAGACAATAGAGATAAGCAAAGTTTCCCTTACCCTATTTCCAAGAGATAAAGACAGCCACCTATCAATCTGACCATGCTTCCCTGACAAGAAACTTCGCTGATAGAAGAAACCAAGAAGTCTAGGAAAACTTTGAGCTAAGAAGTACATGAATTTTCTTTTTCGCGTCCATTTGACCCAGGTTCTTCGTCTCTCTTCCTTTGTCATCATAGGATCATATGGGTTCACCATGGGGGCAAACATGGCAGCACCTGTGAGTTAATGCACGGTGTCTGACTGATCAATTTCATAATGCAAGGCATATGCTTGTTCTCATTGCTTATAATAAAAAAATATATTTATTCTCTACAAATTACGGATACTAGACACAACATTGACACGTTTACACCGATAGTAATTTGAGAAAAAATCGAATAATTGTGTTGGACACCGGACACACTTTCAAATTGATGTATTGATGTTACACAGTTTTTTTTTCCACTGAAAGTCTTGTTCTAGTCCCGTTAAGCAAGTTCAAATGGTAGTTGTACAAGGACATCCGACTGTAGAGGCGCAGGTTCGAACCCACGACATTCCACTTATTCACCTTTAACGGGTGAAATTCCAACCATTAGACTATTTGACCAAAAAAAAAGTCCCGTTCTATTGACGTGACACATACGATTCAATGAAGTTTTTTAGAATAGTAGCAGTTAAACTTATATCTACAAGATATAAACTTACTTTTCACTCACTCTAGACAAGCTTTGCGAGTGATTTCAGTAAGTAGAAAAATATTGAAATCCTAATCAAAATGTAATGAAGTACACTAAAAACATAAGAACATGTTGGTTGTCATTCAAAAGGTGAATGGACAAGAGATTGACTCTAAAAGCTCCAAATTTCGTCAAGTTAAAAGTCACACGTAAACATTAAAAAAAAAAGTATAAATAAAAAAATCTATTAGTATTAATACCTGCAAGTCTATCAGGTATGTACCTAAGTGCAGCCCAGGCATGTTTGCTTCCACTTGAGTAACCAATAACCCAAAACTTGTCAACACCAAGAGCATCGGCTAAATACGACATATCTATTGCTGAGGATTCAAGGGTTCGTTTGGGATGAGGATCACTCTCGCCAAAACCAGGCAGATCATAAGTGAGCAAGTGAATGCCGAACTCTTCCAGCAGTGAATCTTTAACTCCAGGAATTCCTATTTTCAAATGCAATTTCAAAACTAAAAACACTCAACAATCCCTCAAATTAAAGGTGGATATAAAAACTATAAAAAAGTTCAAACAACCTGCTAGCCGAGATGAAAGAAAAGTATGAGGAGCAATAATTGAAAATCTAGCCCTATCAGCCGAAACACCTCGCTCCTTATATGCCATGTATCTTCCATCCGGAAGCACAATACGAGAGGCACTAGCAGGATGCAAAAATACTTGTTTCACAAAGGGAGCAGATGGATCATACTCAAAATTTACATACAACGCTGCAAATAAATCAACCACGTCAAGTCAACCAAATATTGAACAGATCAAACATTCATTAAACATACAACTTAAACTTTATAAAAGATCAAACAACCTAAAAAAATTCAATACAAAAAATCCTTCTAGGATTCCAACAGAAAAATTGTCAGCAACAACCTAGACCAACCCAAATTTGCAATGTCTCCACAACCACAACGCAAACGTAACCGACACTAAACCAACCAGCAAAATTAAACACGACCACGCAACCTCGATTCAAAACCTACATTCATAATTCTAAATTGCAATCCACAGCTTCAATTGCTGCCACATTTACTAGCATTTTGACTCGATTTGCAGCATAAGCAATTCAGAACCATGGCTACATTAACCTATTCCTAATTCAATTCCCTAACATCAAAAGACACAAAATTGAGTTCAATTATAACACGAATTAAAAATCCACAGCTAAAAATAAAAACTTTGTGCTATTTATTGATAAACCCCTAAAAAAGGAAACATGTGGCAATGAAGTTAACCTGAGAAAGCAAGTAAGGAAACGAAGAATATGACAGACCATACATGAAGTGGGTCTTTATCCTCAGGCAAATACTGATTAAAAAAGCTCAATTTCTTGAACATCTCGTTACATGGTTCTCTTACTCTATTCCAACTCTTTCCAAATTTCCTAACAACAAACGAATCTTGATGCACTAAGCTTTGTTTCACTATATCCCTACAGCCTTTCCCAAACTCCACAGTTAACTCGGAAACCCCAATCATGAACTCCCTCACGCAAATCTTAAACCGCACCCACTCTCTTTGATTCATGATTCAGGAACTTGGGATCAAAGAGACACTATTACGCACATTTTTTAATGAAGATTGTGGTGGAAAGAGAAAAGTATGGAAGTAAATGGCGATGCATAGGTTTTTGGTTTTTTTTATTTATTGGGGTTGGAAAATGAGTGGTGTGTGATGCGGTGGAAATGAAGTGGAAGGTTGAAATGGTGACAAAGAAATGGACCCAGAAGAAAGAGTGAAGAAAAATGGGTTTTGTTGGATTTGGAATTGGGATTTAGACTGAGACGTTGCACCATCAATGAATAGTCTACTCTTTTTCTTAACCGTTTTTGTTGTTAGCAAAGGAAATTAATGTTTTTGGAAAAGAAAGCAATATAACATAAAACTTGTCGTTTCAAATTTACACTAGTGTTTTTTTTTTCTTTCGTAAAGGAAACAAATTACAATGTATAAATGAATTTCTTTTTATGAGAAGAGAAATGTTCTTATAAAATAATTTTATACTAAAACCTAATCAACTAGCCATGTACTATATATTTTTATATTATTTCAATAATATGATAGATTAATTTTTTTATTTTTATGAATGATAGTATAAAATTATTTTATGTTATATGTGAATTAGAAATGAATGTTGTTGGAGAATTGATGATTTTGAACGGTGGTGTTGATCTTTTTCATGACGGGGCAGGTGGATTTGTATGGTTAGCACTCTAACGCTCAAGTTAGGTCAAGATCCAATATAAGTGTAGTGTAAAGTGGAGATCAAAGAATGTACTTTGTTATTTGCATGCGAACTGATTTTATAACTTGGATCAAGTGGAGTGGATTTGAGATGAATTAGGCCTTAGCTATTTAGACATTTGGTTGACCCATAACAATTGTCTCTAACGCTTTGTCGAGCACTAAAAGAGTCGGCGGAAGCCTTAAGTGATGTTGGTCGGCCTCCAGAATGTTGTCCGATATAGAAAATAATTGAAACGCCTGGAATCAGTTGAAAAAATAGTGGAGGAGAATAAGCATATTAAAGGCAGTCCCATCATTGAAACGTTTCGTAACCTTCTTCTAGCACATGGGACCACGTGATCGGTTAGGGCATGAAAAGGCATATGGTGCACTTTAGTGCACTCGAGTTTTTGTGTTTCCACAAAGGGGAAATCTAACAGTTGATCTTGTGATTTCTATCTCTTGTTAGTCTGAATCCTTCAGTTACAACTGCCTAAATACGAGGAGTTTAGCGTTTGGAAAAATTTCCAACCCTTGGCATTCAAAACTTATGGGCATTTTTCCAAAAAATGTCTTTGTTCCCTCTTCCTTGAGAGCATTCATTAAAGAGAGTCACAGTGCATTGCTCAAAAGTTTTTGCCTTTTTACCTTTTATCAACTTTATCAACATCTCATAGTTAGGCACCTTCCTCAACTCATTTTTTTCGGCATTTCCTGTTTTCTAAGCATGATAAGTTGTAATATCGTTATCCTAACGAGTGATATTTTGACTGTTTTGCAAATGGGGACACCTCGTGATTCTTGTCTCCCTCTTATTGATCATGATCATCTGGAACCAAAGGTCATACTCTTATTTGATGACATTGAACATGGTGCAGTCCAAAAACATACTTGCAACTTTGAAATAGAAATATTTCAAAATAACTCAATTATCAAGCAAGTATACAATATTTGTGCCCAAAATAACAACGCGATAAAATGGGATAGAACTGAAATGCAACAATTATTGAAGCTTCTAGATGATAACCATTATGTATCTATGTACATAGTGTGTAAGGACGGAGAAGCCATTCGAGATATATTTTGAAGTCATCTTGATTCCATAAATTTGTTCAACCTTTTTCCCGCTGTACTCATTATTAATTCAACAAATAAGACTAACAAGTACAAGCTTCTACTATTGGAAATTGTTGGCGTTACTTCTATGTAAAATATTTTTTCTATTGGGTTTGCATTTTTTAAAAGTAAAAAAGAGGATAATGTTGAAGAACCAAGAAAACACGCCGAAAGTCATAGTCATTGATCATGATACCGCATTGATGAATTCGGTTGCAAAGGTATTTCTTACATCATACGCATTTCTTTGTAGGTATCACATCACAAAGAAATTCTATCATGGGGTTTATTCAGAAATATATTTCCGGATACACCCTAACTTTTTAAAAACAATTGATAATATAGGTTTATTCAAAAATGCATTTCCTGAGTCACCCTAATTTTATTAGACAAAATAGGGTGCGCATGGAAGTACATCTCCTAAATATCCTCTAAGACTTGTATAAATATGAGTGTCATAATACTTGTTAGCACAAACACGCATAAAATTTCTCAATATGCATATCTTGCTTTTGTCAACAACAACAACAACAACAACGAGAAGCCCCCTCGTAAATTTAAGTTCATAGAGATTACCCGTCTTGTTGATCTAAAATAATACTAGAGAATGTACCCTGAAATCGCAGAGTTGTGAAGCTTTATTATCATTCACCCTCAATTGATAGCTAAGAGAGATACAGTTCAACAAGTTTGAGATGAAGACAAGTGAAGACTTAACTGATATGTGGAGTACGTTTCACTGTTATGAAACTAAAGGTCTGATTAGGGTTGAGATCGAACAAAGATATTTTAAAGATGTTGAAAAGTCATACTTGATGATGAAATGTATTATTAGATTTATGTTAATGATTATATATGTAATGTTTCATGCTTAATGTATGTCATAACAATGATTAATGTTAATTTATGTTATATTTACTACATGTGTTTCTATTTTTTAATAATAGCAATTTTCAGTGGTGATTAACGCTGGACTTGGCAGGTGTCGTACCCCAAAATTGTCCCTACTTTTTTCATCTTTGTCTGGCTCATGATTCTCATTTCATATGCATATTCACATGTCATAATCAGCCATCATAAGATATTCATTGTATATTACACATCATTAATTCAAAGGTTTTTATTTAAGAAGCAAGACATTGGTTTATGACTGGCAAGATTAGGTCATTTAACATGTTTTGGTTAGTACTTTGTCGATCAAGTCACTTTGAGGTCCTACCTTGAGGTCAATAGTATTTGATCATGTCAATTGATATCATGTCATTGAAGTTAGGGGAGCCATTTCAAGCCTTGATTCTAGTCCTTAAGAGTCAACCATTAAGGGTTTAATTTTGTTGAGCATTTTTATTCTTGTTTGGTGATCATATTTGATTTTTGCCTGGTGATCATATTTGATTTTTGTCTGGTTCATGGCATGATATGTCATCCAAGAGATCAAAGGCTTTTAAATTTCAAGTCCATATTCAAGATGTCATGGTCATTCATTTTCAAATATTAAAATTTTGAATTGTGGAGAGAAAGTTATAATTTGGAGAAGATAAGCAATCCATTCAAAAATCCTTTTTATTACAAAAAAAAAGTTACAAGTCACATTATGACAAATCCATTTTTTAAAATATAAAATCACACTTTTAACCAAAATTAACCACTAATCCTAACCCTAATTCATACATTTTCTTCGTTCATATGTTAACCTCCATTCTTGTGAGTCCCCAAATTTTTTCATGATTTTTGACCAGACCTTCACGAGCATATTACACCATTTCATGCCAAGCTCTGCATAAACAATAACCGAGTTCATTGCACACATACACATAAAGCCACAATCAAACAAATCATGTTATTTCCGAAAATATTATGCACAACTCTATTTATTAATAAGCATCATTTAACAAATCCATGTCATTTTACTTAGTGAACATGCATTTCCACATCAAGTCAATAACCAACAATTCCATTCAAGTAGCATTTCTTCCAAGCTAGCATGCTAACACTTTAACTTCAATTCATACAAGCAACATATGTTAACTTACTAAATGTTTCATTGTCAACAACTAACCGTAACAATTAAATTAGATTTCTAGCATTACACTCATGCATTTTCTTGTTGAGCCTCATGCTCTTGTAAACCCGTTTCTTTTACTTTTGCCTTTGGAGCTTCATGCTTTGGCAAACTCTCATGCATTTCCCTGTGGAGCCTCATGCTCTGGAAAACCCTCATGCATTACCACGTGGAGCCTCATGCTCTAACAACCCCCTTCTTGTAGGTCTTGATCCTTGAATCTAGGCAAAATTTTACAATTTTGCACTAGCCACACCATCTAATGGTTAATTCCCCACTCTTTGATTCAGACACACCTATCTCATGGATCCAACAACATAATTTTGGTCCAAGCAATACTTTCACAACATATTTCACAACTCTTTTACAATTCAAGCTCTTTCTTTTCTTATTCAATCAACTATTTTTTTTCTTTTCTTTTATTTTTATCACTCAAACCTTTTGCAAAGCAACTACTATTTCATTTCATAAAAAGAATTTTTATAATTTGTTCCTTATCAATCATACTAAAAGCTTGGAGCATCCGAATGAGGATCAAGTTAGCTGACATCTACACACTTCTAGAACAATCAAAATCTGTATTTTCTACCACGAACTACAGAGTTCTGATTTCCTTATTTAACTATGAGAATATGTAGACACGAGAGTTTGAATCCTTGGCGAGCACACTAATTTAAATTTGTTTCCCCTTCGTAAGTAATCTTTAGATAGTAACACCCATTCGCGTCAAAGAACAATCAAAATGGTTCTCATTAAGTACAACGGATGTGAGGGATGCTAATACCTCTCCCTCGCATAACCTACTCCCTCACTCATTTATTTTTTCTTTGGGTTTTATCGATATTTTTCCTTTCCTTTTGGAATAAATAAAGTTTGGTGGTGTTTCTATTATATCATCGAGCATTTGATGCGCTCAGGTATTTTTCGTGCCGCGACAGCTGGTAAATCTGCTGAGGATTTAACTGCTCCTACAAGAGAGAGTCTAGCCTAGTTCTATTTCATTCCTTGTTTGTTTGGGGTGTTTAACTTTATGCTTTACTTTATTTATCTTTATGTTATTTATTTCATTCTTTATTGCTTTAAATATTCATATTCTGCATACTCTGGATATCTGTTATATTAT